CCCCATTCCCCATTCCCTGCACAAAGCAGCTTTGTCTCCCTCTTCCTGTCCCTCTGCTCCTGCCTGGCCGTTGTCCCTCCCTGGCGCCCGTCCCATCTCACCCTGCAGCACAAGGACCCTCCTCCTCCCTTTATCTGGGGGAGCCCCAGCCCCCCAGTGCAGCTCACAGGGCCCCCCAGTCTGGAGGTGATGGGGAGGATGGCAGGGTCCCCACGCCCAGCCCTGGCAGCACCCACACGCCGGGACCAGCAGTGCCGGTGGCACGGAGCGAGGGGTGGGCACTGCCCCCCAAAGCCCTCTGCAGCTGGGGTGTCCTGGGGGGCTCTTCTCCTCCTGCACCCCTTGGCTTAGGCAGCTGCTGTCCCTCCCCTGTGGCAGCCAGGCTGGAGCTCACCCAGGAGGGTCAAATCCCAAATCCAACGCCACTGTCTGAGCCCTGTGGGGTCCCAGGACGTGTCTCTGCTTCCCAGCCCAAAACTGGCAGTGGCTCCCGAAGCTTGGCCAGCAGGATGTGCTGGGCTCCGTGTCACCCACATCCCTGTCCCCACGGGAGGAACACACCCCAGCACGGCTGGATCTGTTCCCTTTCCTGCTCCCAGAGACCCCAGGAAAGCTTGGGGTGGTTTGGCTCAGCATTGCTGCCCGTTCATGGGGACAGGGGGCCAAAAACCCCCTCCCCAAACTGGGCCTGGCTGTTTTTGTCATGTGCCAAAGGAGAAGGGGCAGGCAGGCAGCACTGGGCACAGGCAGCCCCTGCACCTTGCCAGAGGAGCATTTTGGCTTTTCTTGGCCTTTTTTTGGGTGGGGGTTTTGCAAAGCCCTGCCTTTGCCCCAACTCCCTGTGGTTAATGGGGGCTGCAGGTATCCCTGGGGGAATTAGCACAGCCTGGCTCGGTGCTCCCAGGGATGGCTGGGGGGGGCAGCCCTGGGTTCTGGGCGAGCAGAGGGATGTTCCTGCCTGCAGGGGCAGCAGCAGACCCTGGGACCAGGCACAAGGGCTGGCTCTGCCACCAGCAGCTCGGTGACAGTGACCCTGGCAAGTCCCACCCACAGCGAGTTCCAGCAGGGTGTGGGGGCTCGGGAGAGGGGACACACACAGGGACATCCCCTTGGAGCTGAGCCCCGCCAGCCACTCTGTGTGCTAACAGCAGTGCCCAGAATCTTTGTCTGGTTTGCCCTCATCCCTCCTGGCACTGCTCTCCTGCTCTCCCTTCTCCCAGCCCCATGACCTCAGGTTCTGGCTGCTTCCCTGGGACTGATCTCCTCGGGCACCCGGCCACCAGCACGGCTGGGACAAGGGCTCTGTCCCACAGGGAGGACGGACAGACAGAGTGTTCTCCCAGCAGCTCATGGAGAGGCCACCTCAAGGTCACACAGGCTGCAAAAGAGCAAAATCCCACCACATCCTATTTTCTCCGGAGAGGGGCTGAGGGCTGCTCCTGCTCCTCCTCGTGATGGATGAGCCTTTGGCAGCCCCCGAGTCCCAAAGGGGGCGGCCAAGGGCCAGCAGGGCCCTCCCTCCGCCCTCTCCTTCCCCGCGGTCACAAGGCTTCAGTCAGCAAAAGGAAAATTTTATTCTATCTACGCACGCTTTATTATTGTTATAAATAATAATAAATCACAGCGGCAGGAAGGGGATGTAGGGAGCAGGAAGGGATGTGGAGGATGGTGAAACGCCTCTCACTTCACCCCCTCCGGGGATGTGAGGTGTGAGAGGAGCCAGCTGTGTCAGGGGAAATAAACCCCAGGGAATGTCCTGGGGGGCTGGGGGGGCTTTCCCACCACACCCTCTGCTGTGGATATCCCCTCTCCTCACCTGGCCTTTTGCAGCCACTGCCCCCGTGGATCCCTTTTGGATGTTTTTTATCCCAAATACCTGGATTTCCAAGTGCTTTTGGATGGTATTGGCTGCCCTCCTTCTGAGGCATTTATGGGAGGAGAAGCCCCTGCTGCCACCAGCTCCCAGGGCTGTCTTCTGCTCTGAGCAGGCTCCAGCTCCCAGTGTCAGTGTCACACCCAGAGTGACCTCCCCAGTGCCTTTGGGGACCCCAAAGGAAGGGGAGAGAGAAAGCTGCACGAAAACTCGACTTTTTTGGTGATTTCCACCCCCCCTGCTTTGCTGGGTGAAGTCATGACTGGAGGAGCTGCTGATGGGACTCAGCCCATGACCACAGCCTGATGGAGATTCCAGCTCCACGCCCAGCCCTCCCTGGGGCCGAGTGACAGGTCAGCTCAGCTCAGATCCAATGGAAAACTGGCTTGGCTCTATTATTTTCTTTCCTTTTTTTTTTTTTTTTTTTTTTTTTTTTTTTTTTTTTAATTTTTAATTTTCTGTTGTGTTTTGGTTTCAAGGTCAGTTGGAAAAAAACCCACAAAACAAAACAAAACTGCTGCAAACAAGGGCTCCACCAGTTGGTGACATGGGACCCGCACTAGCTGTGGCACTGAGAGCTCCAGCTCTGCCAGGAGCAGGGAGTGAGCGGGGCACAGTCCCCAGAGGAGAACAAAGGGGTCTCCACCACTGTGTGACCTGTTCCTCTACTGCCCAGAGCTTCCAGCCCTGCTGCCTGTGAGGTGTGAAGGTTCCCTGGTCCCATGCCATGGTTGTACCTGGGACAATGACAGGGAGGGGAGGGAGAGTGCTGAGCTAATTCCAGTGGTGGGGAAAGGAGATGGAGAAGGGGGAGAAGCAGTAGCAGGAGAGTTGGAAGGAAGGTGGAGGTGCCTGCAGAGGGGTGGAGGAAGATCTGAGCCCCTCGGGGCAGTGGAAGGATGCTCAGGGCAGCCCAGCAGGGATACCATGGCCCAGGCACAGGGCCCCATCTGGAACTTGCTGGGCACCTCGGAGTTTGCTGGTGAACCCCCCTGGTGTGAGGGGGACACAGCCACTCACCCCCCCAGCCAGCAGCGGGCACAGAGGCTGTGACCCCCAGCCCCACGCCGGCACAGCCCCTCGGTCCCCAGCACGGCTGCAGTGAAACACCTCCCGCATCCAGCAGCTCCTTCCCCAGGCGCAGTCGCCCTTCCCGGGAGCAATGCCACGACCCCCGCGATGTCCCTCGTCCCGACCGCCTGCCGGGGGCTCTGTCGTGCCTCGCTCTTTGTGTCCCTTTTGTCAGGGCTGTGACTCCAGCTCTGTTCCTGCTGCCTCCCCCGTGTCACCGCCTGCGCTCGAGAATTCCCCCGGCTCGCCACGCTGCGCTGAGCACGTTCCCGCTCCCGCCTGTCCCCGGTAATTAGCGCGGCTGACCGGGTTTCCTTCATCAGCGCTAATTGGCCAGGTCTGTGTTTGCGGCTTCCCCTTCCTGGCTCTCGCCGTGCCCTGCGGTAATTTGAGTGAGAGAGAAGAGAAATGGAATGGAACTCGAGGTGCCCCCTCGGTGCACACATCCTGTCATCGAGACCCCAGCGGGGAGACGGGGACGCCACGGGGCTCAGGGCACCGAGGGGGCTTCTCAAGCCAAACCCAGCCCTGGAGCTCTGCAAAGCCTCTTTGCTCCCTGTGGGTGACTGTCACCCACCTGGGGACCCACTCGCTGGACCATCCCCGCCTCCTTCACCACCAGCACTCAGCTCCACGCACCCGGTGGCATCCCCAGCCAAGCGGGCAGTGATGCCTGGTCCCTGGGATGAAGCCACCCGCCTAGGACAGGTGCTGGGGACAGCCCGGGGGTGGCACCTGGAAGTGCTCCGCCCTGTTCCCCATTAGCTGCAGGTCGATGGGATTGATCCCCCTGGAGCTGTCCCTGATGCAGCCCAGGTGACCCAGCACGGAGGGACAGCAGCTCGGGGCAGGGGGCAGAGGACACGGTGTCACAGGAGCCCCAGAGCAGCAAATCTCTGCCCTGGTACTGCCCTGAGCCCCGTGGCCTCCCAGACATGTGGTCTGGGACCGCATGTCCCAAAGGAGGACGCCCCTCACGTGTGTGTGAGGCTGCCCCCGTGGGCACAGGCTGCCCCCGTGGGCACAGGGGAGCCAGGAGAGCTGGATCTGCGGGTGCAAGGGAATTTGGGGAGAGGGATGTCCCTCTGAGAGGTGCATGGGGATTCTCAGGGGTCTGTGTGCAGCTGGATGGGGGTTTGGTGTCTCTGTGGGGCACTGGGGGATTTGGGGAGTGTCTGTCAATCTGCAAGGGGGGCTCAGGGGGTGCTCGCTGTGGGAAAGGCCAGATTTGGGGGGTTTCAGGGGGCAGAGCCTGGAGGCCACAGAGCTGCAGTTGGACAGAGACACAGGGTGGGGATGGATAGGAATACAGGGATGGGGACTGTGCCCTGCACACCTGGAGCCTCCTGTGCTCTGCTAAGGGGGGGACCAACAAACCAACCCCCAATCCTGGGCTCTGTCTGTCTGTCTGTCTCCTGGGACTGCTCTGCCCCCGCTTCCTCCACTCTCCCCCTCACATCTGGCCAGCAGCAGCTTATTTTTTCCTCCAGGGTTACGACATCCTGAGCCACGGGATGTTTTTCCTGAGCCTGTGTTGGACCCGCAGGGGGAGGGTGGGAGGATTGTCTTGGCCAGGGAGCTCCAGTGACAATATCTGAATGCCCTCCCACCCACTGTCCCCAAGTGCAGAGAGGGGAGATCAGGAAAGCAAATCAGACCAGGGCTGGAGAAGGGAGAGTGGATTCCTGCTGGTGATGGGGAAGGGTGATGGAATCCCAGTTGGGTCCGGTTCTGCGGATCCTCCAGGACTGGGCAGCAGTGACCAGATCCCTGCCAGTGATGGAGAGGGGCAGCTGGAGCCTCTTGGGGCTGTAGCTACCGACCCCATCATGTCCTCAGTCATGATCCAGAGCCAGGCCACCCTCCACTCAAAGGCCTGGGTGACCAGAGGATGGGGGTGCCACCAGAGCAGGCCTGGGGGCACAAGACTGAGGGTGCCCCTAGAGCATCCCCACTGCTGGAGCCAGGCAGGGGCTGAACCACCCCCTGTCAGCAGCACCGGGATGGCCAGACCGCATCTGTGCCTCCCTTCTCCCACCAGAATAAATACCATTCATTCAGAAGAAACCATTTTATTATTTTTTTTTCCCAAAGAAAAAAAGCAATATAAATATTAGAGTATAAAACTTGCGTGTAACACATCGACATTGGTCTATATGGGTATAAGAAGGATATAAGCATATATATAATATATAAGTATAATTCAATATTAGACACATTGAAAGGGCAAACGTGTTTCATTTCACGCACACTCGGAGCACAGACCACATGGAAAGAAGATACAGAGAAAATTGAAAATACTGATGTCCACAAGTTAGTTACTGCAATTAAAAATAACACGTCACTAAATACACGACACTCACTACGCTACCTCAGATTGCAGATTAAAAAGAAAATATAAAGACTACGATTCAGCTACAGCATTTCTAGGAGGGGGGCAGGTGGCAGCTGCAGGGGACAGGGTGGGAACCGCTCCCAGTGCAGCCAGCAACGGAGGTGGCTTGATCCCGATGAAACACGGAGGATGCTCCTGCTGCCCTGGTTTGGGGAGGGGGCAGGGGTGGGGAGAGCCTGGCTGAAAGGGCTGGATCTGCTCAGGTGAGTTACGTGTTAGTGATTAAAAAAGGAAAAAAACAACACACACCCCCCTGGGAAACTCGGTGTGTCCCTTTCCGGGCCACCCCACAGCTCCTCTCCTGGCTCTGGCTACACAAAGCCCCAAGCTGCCTCTCCCGGGGGCTCAGAGCTGCTTTGCTATGGGAAGCTGGCCTGGTGCTTTGGTGATGAGCACATGGAGAAACTCTAATCCTCATCCTTCCATTCTCCCCGCAGGTACAAAGCCCAAAGCCAGCGGGAGCATCACCTCCTCCTCCAGGCTGGCCCCGCACGGTCCCGTGTGTCACTCCCCCAATCACTGCCCCCCATTTTGCAGCGTCACCCCCGGCTCTTGGGTCCCTTGTCTGGATCTGGTCCCCAAACGCCACCGAAACAACCATCACTTACTCAGCCACCAACTCTGCACCAAAGCCATGCACCGGCAGCTCCGCGGATCCACCCTTTGGGCGAGACCCCCGGAACCGCCCGACCACCCCAAACAACCTTTGGGGCCCGAACTAGAAGCAATAATGAGTTTCCCCACCCCACCTGAGCCATCCCACCCCCTCCCACCCCTTCCCCAGGGCAGCCCGGGCGGCTGCCGGCGCGTTCACACCACGTGGGCATGCGAGGACTGTGCGGGTCCGTGGAGCTACTGCGCTAGTGCAGGTGTGAGGTGAGGGACGTGCATGCAGACACCGTGTGCAGACAGTGAAGCGTCGTCCCCGTGTCCCCTGGGCAGGGACCTGGCCAGGCCTGGCCGCGGGGGAGCGAGGCTCTCTTAGCCTTAATTCCATAAGAACATCGACTGTACATATAAATATTTACTGCAAAGAAGGATTGAGATGTGTCTGCTCTTCGGAGACCCCTAGAACTGCCGGGGCAGCTGCCGCACACCTCGGCATGCTCCTCATGGAATTCCCTGACTCTCACACAGCTGGAGGGCTTTTTCCTTATCATATTTCAGGCCATTAGTGGTTACACTTAAAAAAAAAAATTAAAAAATGCTTAGGATGCAGCTTTGCCATATTCCCTTTGACTCATGCAATATAAACACTTTTTTTTTTTTTTTTCAGATGACAGGTAAGCAGGAACTGAAGCACTCCCTACCAACTTCCAAATTCCAAAATCCATCGCTATCATTGGCTGGGGGTGAATTTTACGAATGGAAAATTTAACAGCAAAGAACTGGAGCATGGGCTCTAAGCTAAGAACTTCCTTTTCCTTTCCAAAAAACAGCTGAAGGGCTATAAATTAAAAGATCCACATTAAAATTATTTACACTGGGCAAAGCTGAGCACAAGCCTTGTGCCTTTCTTGGACTGCCTGGGAGCAAATTGGATCCAAAGACGTGGCAAAAGACCTTCTGCCCTTGCATATTCTAATACCCGAGGGATTGTATAAAACATTATTCACAGGGCACTTGTTTGCGTTCGGTTTAGATTCCGGATTGGTTTTCATCATGAGACCTGAGAGCAGTGAGCCCCTGCTCTCAGCTCTGATGATGACGAGATACATTCGCAGCATTTCCTACTTTTGCACCACAAAAAAAATTCACATTCGTCCTCCGGCCTGGGCTGTGGTTTTGGGGGAGTGCTGGAGCCGGCTGCCCTGTAGCTCTAAGGTCTCCTTTTTCTTCTTCACTACTTCTTCTCCTTCTTCCCGGATTTCTTCTTGTTGCCTCCGGCGGGGGCGGCGTTCTTGGCGTCGCGCTTGCCGGCGGCGTTGGTGAGGGTGGCGTTGCTGCCCGGGATGTAGACGTTCTGCCGGTAGTCGGGGACGTGCTGCAGGGTGAACTGGGGGCCGTAGCGAGCGCTCAGCCCCATCGTGCCATTGCCGCCGCCCAGGGTCGAGTTACCATCAGCAGCTTCTGTGGGGAACGCCGGGGAAGGGGGAAAGAGAAGGGCAGGATGTTAAAGCCAGCTGGAGACCCCCACCCCGAGCCCCAGCAGCCCCATCTTTGGGTGTCAAACCCAAAGCAACATCACCCTTCAGCTCCCCACAGGGCAGCCTGGCACAGAACTCCCCCCGAAACTGCCCATTACAAACATATTGTGCAGTCACACCATTAGTGATGCATTAAAGGAAATTCAATATTTATTTATTTTTCCGCCGTATCTAAAACCCTGCCTGCGGTATTTTTCTCCAGCCAGGTTTATTCAGGGAGCAGGACACGGGAGATGAGAAAGAAAACCCCTCCCCTGCAATACCACAAAATGGCTCTAGGAAGCCGAGCACGAACGAAATCAATGCCAGAGCGTGTCTGATGGTCCAGATCTGGGAGCAGGGGGAGGGGAAGGCAAATTCATTCCTGTCGCTATGCAAAGCTCCAGCACGGAGCGAGGAGTGGGGAGGGGCACAGGGCCCCCCGGGATGCTGGGGCTCTGCTGGATGCTGGAGACCAGATGGAGATGGGGGATGCACGGAGGCAGGGGGGCAATGAGCAGGGGGGATGGCAGGGCTCGAGTGATGCTGTTGCCATGAGCTGCTGCACGATCTGCTCCAGTGCAGCTGCCTGTGCACGGCTCAGGGGGGATCCTTGAACAGCCCTGCTCAGACATGGTTTGCTGAAATTCAGCCTTTGTCTGAGACGCTGTGGCTCCCATCTCAGCCTTTAACTGCCTCCTGCTCATGGCTGGGGCCAGGCCCTCCCGAAGGATGGGGACACCCAGCAAGGGCACCCAGAGAGCCCAAGGCAGAGCCCAGGGGTGCTGCTCCCTCCTTCCAGAGGCAGAGAGATTGTGGGAACAAAGGAACAGGCAGAGGTGGTGGGCTGGGTCCCCTCGTGTTTCTCCTCACTCCAGACCAGCTCTGTGCACGCCTCTGTGCTGCCTCTGCTTTCCCCTAAGCAGATGGAGGTGGCTAAGCCAGCCAGAAAGCTGGACAAAAAGCTGGATCACATCCCACCATTCCCTGAAATATGGCTGTGTACACATTCCCTTTGCAGGGGTCGGAAGGATGAAGCAACTGCAGTTTGAAAAGTTGCAGCTGCTCTGTTGGAGCGGGCAGGGAGGAAAACACAGCGAGGCTGAAAACAAGCGTGATATTGTGTCCCAGGGCAGGGCTGTGGGGTGCAAACAGGGAAATGCCTTTCACCTCCTGCTCTGGAAGCATTCCCCGCAGGAGAATTCTTCCAAAGTTCCCATGAAACGGGTTCCAGACCCAACGGGGCTTACAGGACCTTGTGAGATGTCCTGGGGAGATGTGTCTGTAATTAGTGACATTTATAGCTAATCCTCACTCGCCTGAGAAGGAGCTTGTTTCATTAGTAACCAACCCAAGGCCACACCCATGGAGGTGTTAGAAATGACCCCCAAGGGATGGGATGACTGGAGATGTGCAGGGACCTTCTCACAGGCGGACTACTGTGGAAGAGGTTTTACAGTGACTTCTGTGGGCCAGAGAGAAGTTGGATAAGAGGATCCATGTTTACTTGGGCTGTCCCAGCAGCTGCCTCTGCCCATCCAGATTGCTCCAAACACTGGTTTTTCATATTGTTCCCAGCTGCAAGGCGGGAAGATTCAGAGGAAGGATGGCTGGGAAGGGAGACAGAACCCTACAGCAAGGTCACAGCCCTGGGGGAAAATCAGGTCCTCAGATACTCTGCCTTGCGATGGTAGTGGAACCATTGGGGAAGGGATTTAACCCTCAAAGGACTGGATGGTGCAGGCTTGGCCTGGCATGGCCAGCGCTGCCTCCTGCTGAAGCCAAGGAAAACCCCTGGCCCAGGGTAAGGATGCATCCAAGGCAATAGTGTGAGCCACTTGTCACCCCGGAGCTCAAACAGAGCTCAGTGGGTGACAGTGAAAGATAAGGATTATTTAAATGGCCAGGAAATCACACCCAGGGATGGGTAGCACAAAGCTTAATGGGCAATTAGCGCTGCCCCTAATCAAAGCCCGCTCCAATCAACACTATTGGCTTGAAGAGAGAGCAGAAATGGGGGACAGAGGGAGCAAGGGTGACACGAAAACACCGTGCTGGAGGAAAAAACTGGTGCTGGGTCCCCATGCACACAGCCAGCACAGAAAGAGCCCGCACAGGATGGTAAGGGAAGGCCATTATCTGCAGCAGGGATTTGACTGACATCAAGCCCCGGGGCGGCCCGGAGCCGGGGACAGGCCGGGACAGTTCCAGCCTTGTGGACTGGGGGAGATTTGCTGCAGTAGAGCCCCGGGCTCCACCAAAGGCGCTGCTTAACCTGGAAGGGACCCGCTTAGCTCTGATCCTGGGGATTGCTGGAGCAGCAGCCAGAAAAACAGCTTTATTCACCAGCAAGGAGACCGGATCTGGAGACACTGGGTGATGATAACCACATGCAACCCCAAGGGCTGTTTTTCCATGATCGTTTTTCAGAGCAAAGACACATTTTCACATTGTTTCTTTCTCTTGAGTGTAAACAACTCCCTTGCCCCAGACCTTGTCCCCCTCCCCAGCCACGGCAGCTGTCTCCTGGTGTCTGCAGGGCAGCGAAGTTCAGCTGCAGCAGCTTTCCAAGAAAGCAACACTAAAGCCATTCCTCCTCCCTCAGATTCCTTCCCTCCCAACAGCTCAAAGGAAACATCCTAAGCATTTTGCACAGGGTTTTATGGCTGTGCTTCTATTTTTAAATCAAGGGGGGAAAGACTTGAAGGTATTTATAAATAAAGGCTCTATGAAAACCAGGCTCTTTATCCATAGTGCTGCACAGAATGATAATTGTCCTTGTTTTACACAAAGCCATGGAGACTGTGGCTGCGTGGGAACATCCCTCCCTGCCCAAGGCTTCTTCACAGCCATAAACCAGAACAAACCAACCCAAAACGACTCCAAACCACCCTCCTGGGAATACAACTCAAGGAGGCAGCAGCAGCCAGTAGGGAAAACCTTGGTGGGCCCATGGCTCAGCAGAGGGGCTCGGGGAGCTCCTGTGCACAGCCTTGTGGATTGGGGGAGTTTGTTGGGAATACTGAGTCAGGCATTCACTGGTTCCTGTGGTCCAGCCTCCAGCCACACACAACTTCCAGCCTTCCCTCCCCCTCACCTCACAGCAAGTTTAATTTACTGTGACTTTCTGGAACCAAGTAGTCCATAAAACATCATCTCCAGACTGGCTCTTTCATGTAACACAACCCCAGCACAGCCAGGTGGAGTTGTTTCAGTACAAAGCAAAGAGTTTGGGTGGAACAAGTGTCCCTGTCTACAGAAACCAGGTATCTCCTCTGCCTGGATCCTTCCTGACCCCTCTCTCTGTAGGAACGTCAATGCTTTTCCCCCTGGATCCCTCCTGACCCCTCTCTCTGCAGGGACATCAATAATTTTCCACCAGCTTTGGGATCTGTTGAGGCAGATCCTTTGCAGCCAGCCCAGCTAACCCAGATGAATCAGTCCCACAGCATCTCATCTATCAGCAGGAACCCGAGGGGCCCCCCAGAGCAGGAGTCAGGGTTTTCCCATGCTGATGGACACCAACCATTGGCTGAAGCCAGGATCATGGCTTGGAGCATCTCCGTGTCAAACTGGTTGTTGGGCCAGGCTCCAGCTTCCTCTCCATTCTGAGAGCTGTGGGAAAAGAAAACAAACAATAAGTTACTCCACTTCAGTCAGGAGGAGTGTGAGGGATGAGTGCATGCTTTAAACCCTCCCATAAACAGCACTCAGGGGCCAAGACCCTTTCAGAGGTGTCCATCCCTCAGCAGGCTCTTGAAGAATAACCACCAAAAGCACTTGGGAACTCGATGGTGCATCCAGCAACACCTTCCTGACTCCTGCTGCCTTCAGAGGCCACAGCCAAGCATCTCATCTCCTCAAAACCCCACCAATATGGAATCACAGAATGGTTTGGGTCAGAAGAGAACATGAAGATGATCTATTTCCAACCCCCTGCCATGGGATATAATGTCATCCACTGCCAAAATGACAGTGTCATGTCACAAAAACTGCAGTCCTAAAGCCCCAGAGATGCATATCCACCCTTGTATGCCCAGGTCCTCTGCCCTTCTGCAGGCTGAGTGGATGCACCTCCCAAGCTCTTTCAGGTTACAACTCCATTCTGCAGCTTCATTCATGTGAGGGAGGGTGAGAAAACCCCACAGTGTGCTGGGAATTCAGGTCATCACAGAGCAGCTGCCTGGCACCACAGAATCTGCTCTGAAAAGAGTCCAAGCTCAGTCCTGGGGAGGCTGGAGCTGCAGGGAGAGGAGAGCAGGCAGCATCTGGGCCTTGGCTCCCCTTGGCTGCTGGGGATGCTGAGCACCACGGATCAGCCCGGGAGAACTCCGGGGATGATGACAGACTTTGGCTGAGGAGGTTTTGTGGCCAAGGCTACAATCAGCACTGTGTGCAGGCTAACAAGCCCGGCTTTCATGTCTGCCAGGTGTCAGCTGTGCTCAGCCACCGCTCACTGCTCAGGGCTGTGCTCCCAGAGCCCCTCCAGAGCCTCCACGCTTCCTAAACATCTCACCAGCTTCCTGGGGTCCCCTCTGCTCTGTCCCTAAACGACCCCACCACTCAGATCACCACTGTCTCCTCTCCCAGTCCCTGCTCTGACCACCCACAGCCCTTTCCAACTGTAGGAATTCCAGGATTTATCCCTTGGCTCCCTTGGGATGAGGGCTACCCTGGGAGCTCTGCTGAAGTGAGATAGGGGAGGATGTGGGGTTGGAAAGCCCTTCCCATGAAGAAACCTTACCCCATTTCCCAGGAAAATGTTCAAACCACCAGGCTACAAGGCATGGAGGCCTCCCCCACCACTGTGCTCCCAGCTCAGGAGCTGCCAGACCCCAACGCTGCTCAGGCCCCAACATTGCTCAGACCCCAAAACCCTGCTCAGACCCCAAAACCCGGCTCAAACCCCAATGCCCAGCTCAGACCCCAACACTGCTCAGACCCCAAAACCCTGCTCAGATCCTGAAACCCTGCTGAGATCTCAGCATCCTGCTCAGCCCCTGAATTCCTGCCCAGCCATGCTCTGGGGTGTCCCTCTGGCAGCCCCATGCCTGAGCACTCAGCACCCTGCAAATGCCAGCGTGGGCACGGCCGGTGCCAGCTCAGTGCCACGTGCTGGGCACCAGATGGGCTCCTCACGCCCTGCTGGGCATCCCTCTGCCTGAGTGCCCCCTCCACCTGTACCCTCACACACAGAGCAGGCTCAATATTTGCATTTTGGAATTGGGATGGACCCACAGGCGCTGTTCTTGAAGGTTGTACCTGCCACAGTGACCTCGTAGCTGCATCAAAGCTCTGCAAGGAGAGAAGCCTTGAATGCACCTGAGCTTTCAGCATCCCTGTGAAATCCTGCCCCATGCACAGGGTGCCCAGAGCAGCTGTGGCTGCCCCTGGATCCCTGACAGTGTCCAAGGCCAGGCTGGGCATTGGAGCTTGGAGCAGCCTGGGACAGTGGGACATGTCCCTGCCCATTGCAGGGGGTAGAACAAGATGGTCTGTGAGGTCCTTTCCAACCCAAACCATTCTGGAATTCTGAATATATGTTCCAACTACCTTAGAAACACAATATCTGTCTGTAAGGATGCTGTGCAGACACTCCCAGGTGCTCTGCACAAAATCTAGTCTTAAGCAACTTGTCCAAAGATGTGCAGGACCCGAGCCAGGACCACAGGACCGTCCCTCCCCTTCTGTATCCCGTGCCTGACCCATCCCCAGCCGGGCACAGGGCGCTGCTCCCACACCAGTTAATCTTTAGGGGATGCAAATAAGCACCAGTGGAGCACCGGCTGCCCCGGCACGACCCTGCAGGCAGCATCCTGAAATCCCTGTTGCCTGCGCCTCCCGGGGCCTCCTGGGCACGATTTACAGCCCTCCTGCACGCCGTGGGTGGTGGCACGGTTTCAAAAGCCAGAAGTGAGGCGTTCTCCCCTCCCAGTTGACTCCCCCGTGATGGATGTGCTGAGATCCTCGGCCGCGGGTCCCCTGCCCCGCCGGGCGCCGTGCCAGGACAAGGCGGGGACAGCCCTGGGGCTGCAGCGACCTGTTCATGTCACAAACAGGGCTGGGAATAGAGCCCCGGGCTAGATCCAATAAAGGACTTAGGAACCTAAACTCCACTGCAAACCACAGCCCATTCAGCCACCCGTTAACCCCAGCAGCTCCTGCCCCAACCCCAGTTGGAATATGAGGTTCCCAGGTTTTTCAGGGTTTCAGGAAAGCTGCTCAGAAACATCCCTGAGGCTCCCAGCTGCTGATCCTGTTTCTAGGAGCTGCCCTAACATGATGGTGGTACCCAGACATGGGGGAGAGAAAGCACAAGAAAGTATCACATTCATTTTGTTTGGTTGTCTGTTTTGTTTTTTGTTTTTTTGGTTTGGTTTTTTTTTCTTCTTTAAATGTAGTATTCCGGTGGTTTGAACTCTGTCCTGAAATCAGAGGCTTGGGTTCAACTCCCTCTTTGATGTGGCAGTGCCAGCATCACATTTTCCACCTCCCAAAAGACTCTTCCCTCCTCTTCCACCCCTCCTTCAGGCAGAGATGTTCCTCCTGTCTCCTGTCAAAGCCTCTGTGTCCTACAGCAGTGGGAATGCACGGAAGGAAAGGCTCACCTGTGTTCAGGAGATTCACCTGCCCCAGGACTCCTGACCCCACTGAGCTGCCCAGCCTTGGGCCAGGGCTGCATGCAGGCACAGGCAGCAGAGCTGACACCACTGGGCACCAGACCTGGCCAGGAATGGCTTGGAAAGGGAGGGATGAGGGGTCTGGGTAGTCCCTGCAGCCTGGGAGGGGTCTGAGTGGCACAGCCCAACCCTCCCAAGGGGGGTGGCTGTACCAAGAAATGTGGCTCTTGCTCAGGCTGTTCTGAGCTCTGGGTTAGAGCTGTGTGTCCCGGGGAAGGAGGACTGAGCATCACCAGCCAGCTCAGCATGGGCAGCACTGCAGACCCTTTTCCTTCCTTGTGCTCTTAGGGAGGGATGAACACGTGAACTCCTGGCATGAGCCTCACCAGCCCCTCCACTTTGGGGGACACCCAAAGCCCTACCTCCTCTTAATTCCCTGTGGGATCACAAAATCAGACTGGAAGAGGGGCACAAATCATAGAATCCTAGAAAGGTTTGGGTTGGAAGGGTCCTTAAGGATTCTGCAGTGCTCCTAGGTGCCACCTTCCAAGCAGAAGGAGCTCTCCCAGCCTCTCCCACCCTGCCCTGGGCTCCAGTGCACAGATCATTTTGGTGGCTCTCATATGGCCCTGCTTTTGTTGCAGTGAGGAGCCCAAAATTTGGAACAGTGCTCCAAGTGTGGATCTGTGGGTGCCACAGGGGAATTGAGGGCAACTTCTTGTCCTGCTGGCTACAACCTCACCAGTAAAACCAGTCAGTCTCCACCACAGCAAGGATGCACTGGTGATTCATGTTCAACCTGACACCCCATGTCCCTTTTTTCACCCTTACTGCACCCAGTGTTCCCGAATTTTGCACAAAGAGCCCCAAAGCTGTGTGCCTGCTCCTCATGATGCCACGTAGAAAAGCTATTTTAGAAATGCCTTAGCATTGCAAAAAAAAAAAAAAAAAAAAAAAAAGGGCATTGAACTCACTTCTCTAAGCAGGAAATTCAAGTGTCTCAATTACTTGCAGCGCAATCATCCAGAATTCAGAGGCACAGAAAAAAAACCCAAGGGCTGTAATCTAAAAACATCCAAAAATAACTCCTCACAGCAGAGAATGCACACAGCTGATGGCCAGACCTGGCTGCCTTCCACGGCTATAGGATGGGGCTGTGAGTCACAGCTGTGAATCACTGACTCAACAATGAGCAGCCCTCCCTGCCCTGCTGCCCTGCCCGGGGTGGGCACAGCCCAGAGCCCCTCCTGCCACTGCCACCCACCCCTCCACAGCTTTGGATGCTGCTGCAGGGAGCCTGCCCGGAATGGGAGGGCTGGTTCCTATGGAAATAGTCCAGGGACTGGCTGGTTTTAATACAAATGCTGTTGATTCAATAGGGTGTTTTTCTAAAAACCCATCCCCCATAGGACAGATTTTTTTTTTCTCTCTGTTCACTTCTACTCCACACTTCAAAGCTCAGAAAAGAGCTGGCTTTCATTTTCAGGAATGCTTCCAGCGTAGCTAGAACTGAGAGAAGGAATCAAAGCCACATTTGAGACAAACCCGGGGGTGCAGCATCTACAGGGGCTCAGGGCATGGTGGACACGGAGCACAGGCCAGGTGCTGTGTCAGGAGAGGCAGGTACAGCCTCTGCACGCCCTGGAGCTGCCTTCAATAAACCTGGCTGCATGGAAATCATGGAATAACCAGACAAAAGGTTTTTCTGGCAGCCCTGCCAAAGCCCCACTGCATCCATCTGCATCCCAACACTGCCCCACTACCAAGAGCTTCCACAGGCACCCACACCGGGGGGCACTTGGGTGCTTTGCTCATCAGCTAATTTGCAGCACCCTCAGCCATCAGGTCCCTTTTTATCTTCCACTTCCAGCACAAAATTATTCCACTTCGAGCACAGAATTATTCATTTCCTTGCGGGGTTGCCATGGAGCTCATCGCCATGGCAGCCAAAGGCCTCGCAAACATTTATTTGCACAATCGCCCGATGGATTCCTG